GAGTGATAAGGTGTGTGTGTGTGTGTGTGTGTGTGTGTGTGTGTGTGTGTGTGTGTGTGTGTGTGTGTGTGTGTGTGTGTGTGTGTGTGTGTGTGTGTGTGTGTGTGTGTTACCTGAGGAAGGTGTACTCTTCTTGCTGCAGTAAAGCCCAGAGAGAGGAAAGTTCAGCTCTGGAGTAGCCCCTCCCCCTTTTCCTCAGCTCCTCCCCCCACAGCCTCGATATGTTCCTTTTTCCTCCTCCTCCTCCTCTTCCTCTTCCTCTTCCTCCTCCTCCTCCTCCATCACCATCTTCATCCTCCTCTTCCTCCGTCAGACCCAGAGAGTTTCGTACCTGAGGAAAGAGGTCTGATTTCTTACTCTCAGGTATAAAGTGTTTTATTGATCCAGGTGAGTTTATTTGATCAGGATTTAAAGAAAATCCCTTCCTTCAAAATAAATGAATACTTATCATGGGTTAGGATTTAGACGCCCGAGGCTTCCTTCAAAATAAAAGCATCTGCATAATGATGATTACCTCCATGGTGGCGTAGAGAACGACGTCCATCGGGGAGAGCTCCTCCGCCGTGTCCTGATAACAGAAATACTTCTTCATTTTAAATACACTTTTTCATTTTTAAGACATTATTTCAAATGTATTAAAAAGTCACATTTTAATTCTTTCACAATGTGAAGAGTGGAAATACTTGTTCAGCATTTCCACTCAGAGCTTTTTGTGATATTTAGATTTTTTTAAAAAGATTTTTTGGCATTTTTCACGTAAAATATTTAGTTTTTTTAATGTTATTATTTTTTTATAACGTCAAGATTTTCTGCAAGATTGGATCAAAGGTCTGAAAACTCTACGGAACCTTTCAATGGATTTATCTGCACGTTTTCATTCATTACATTCGGTCTCTTTGCAAAAATATATGAAGGAATTAAATACTTTTTCAGACTTTTTTGTAGTAATTCTTTAATTTAATAAATCTTTTTTTGTTATTTTCACTTAAAGTATGTAATGACTTTAAATGTTATTCATTTCTTCTCATTTCAATATTTTCTGAGTCACATTATAATCATATTTTCTTCATTTCCGTTGAAACTTTATTCCTTTTTAATTACAAAGGTCAACTTAGTTTTATTTTATATGATTCTTTCAAGTTTTCGTCACATTTTCATTTCTTTTTGTTGGAATATCTAAATCACATTTTTGCAAAAATATATATGAAGATTTTTTTGTTATATTTTGATATTTTTTTGCCATTTTTACTCAAAATATTTAGTGACTTTAAATGTTATTATTTCTGAGTCACATTTGAACAATTTGTTCTGCATTTCCATTGAGAGCTGGACACTGCTTTCTTCCTAACTAAAGTGAGGACCTGGTACTCGAGGATGTTGAGCGGCTCGTAGGAGGAGAAGTTCTCCATCTTGGACTTCAGGATGACGGTGCTTCCTCTCCACTCGGCCTCCATCACCTTCTTCCCGTTCTCGTAGTAAAGGCATCGTCTGAACTGCAGCAGCCCCCCCTCACACAGGTCAGAGCACATGTCTCCAGACACCGAGCCGTCCCTGAACTCACCGCACTGCACACAGGAACACATTCAGGGCTTAGTCTCAGGATGTGTAGAAACACCACTAGGCTGAGGTCACAGGCTCCAGCAGAGCAACACAACAACACAGACCAGATAGTTCAGAGCGAGGAGAGTCTCTGTGACGTGTACGAGCAGTCGCTTTACGGCCATTTCATCCATGCTTCATGCTGACATATCTTTCAGCAGAAGCATCATCATTATTATTATTATTATTATTATTATTATTATTATTTGTAGGTAGCCTATAACCAAACTTTAGCTGCAAATTAGATTCAATTGTATTTATCAATTCAATACAAAAGTTAAGACAAAGTAAATTGGCTCTGTGTCTGG